TTTTTTTTTTTTTTTTTTTTTTTTTTATTTATTAATACATATGAAAAGGGCGGGCGCATTCAGTTCACTTCAGCTCCTTCACAGCCAGACCTGCAGAGGAGGAGAGGGAAAGGGTGAGACACTCAAGGGACAAATTCAGCTCTCATTACTGCTGCCTGGATGGCTGTGAAAGGAACAGTACCCTGCACCCTGGAGGCAAGCTACTGAGGCTATTAGCAGTCCAGAGCGAGGACAGGAGCTGGTTTCTCCGTCTTCTCAAGACTTCAGGGTCACAAAGACTGCAGATGCACACCCACAAATAGCATTCAATGCAGCAGCACTGGCTCCAGGGCACTGCACATCCATCTCTGCTCCCTGGCCATAACAGACAGGTCTACGTACTGCCCCCTGCCCAATGTGCAGCCCCAGGCCTGTGACACTCAATGCTGATCCTGTTGTCAAGCCAAGGGTATTTCAATGCTCTCTACAGCTCCACTGCTAAGCAACATCTCAGGGCAGGACAGGCTGGGTCAAGAAGGAAATCACCCCTCTCCTCAAATCCTGCTCCATCATTTTGAGACCTCCTTCCTTCCAAGAGGGAAGGGGAGGCTGCTGCTCCCTACTGGGCAAGGTTGCAGCTCAGTGTACTGCTTCTAGCTGCACACAGGGTCCCAGGTCTTCAAGATCAGTTTGATGCTGGTTGCTCCTGCCCCAAGCAAGGACCCAGATAAAATAGTCTCTTCAGTGCCCTGCCCTGCCAGACCTGCTTTTCTACGATGCCATGACCAGGACACCCCCAACAGCACTGCTCTTTGGCTAACTGCAGACCCATAGCTCTTTGCCCTGGACAACTGTCCAGGAAGGAGATGGGCTGGAGCAGCAGGTTCACAGGGTGTCAGGGATACCGGATGATGCAGCAGTAAGCAGCTAGGAGAACAGACCATGGCAGGGAACACTTCATGACCGGGAGTGCTTTGAATGCTCACAACCTATGGATGCATAAGAGCAGGGGAGTGACTAAGAAGCCACCCGTTACAAGCTCCACACTAACACTGCCTCACAGCCCACCCAGGCTCCTGGGCAATTTCATCAGCCCAGGAAAGTGCTAGCATTGTTCACGGAGAGCTTCAAGCCATATTCTCCCCAGCCCCAGCAAAGTCCTCCAGAGCCTCACTGAAAAACACCCTTGATTCAGCTGCCACAGAGGAAACCCCTTACCACATTCTCCTCTTAAGAGTATGGTACTCCCTCAGCCTTAGTTACCTGGGGGCAGGGACTGCTTGAGCTTCTCAGCCTTCTCTTTGTCTGTGATAACCAGGGTGTACAGGTACCGGCTGCAACGCACCTTGAACTTCACATTGTCCTTATTCTTCTTGATCTTGACAGCTGTAGTGAGAAGAAATTGGAGGTTGGCATCACTGGGGTGACATGCGCACACACTCTGAGGCGGCCTTTAACCAGGCCTCCCCTGCCCATCATTCAGGGGCAAGGAAGTGATACCCCAGCTGGAGTACTGTGACCAGTTCTGAGTGCCACACTTCAGAAAAGACTTGGAGAACCTTGAAAGGGTACAGAGAAGGGCCACAAGACTGATTAAGGGCCTGGAGGACAAACTTTATGAAGAAAGATTAAGAAGGGATCTGGGATTGTTCAGCCTGGGGAAGACGAGACTGAGGGAGGACTTGGTGGTTGTCTGTAAGTAATACAAAGTATGTAAGTGGTGTAATTACATACAGTAATACTGTATGTAAGGGGTGAATATTGGGAGCTGGGAGAAAAACTGCTCACTACGGCGCCCCAGGGGAGGACAAGGAGCAATGGCCATAAACTGCTAGAATATGGTTCAAGTTGGATGGCAGAACTTTGTTACAGTAAGAGTGACCAGAATCTGGACTAGACTTCCCAAGGCGGTGACAAAGTCCCCAACCTTGGAAGTCTTCAGAGACTGGACAGACACCTTGCTGAGATCATCTGAATTCAGCAGTATTCCTGTCCAGAGCAGAGGGGGTGGACTTGACAATCTTTTGAGGTCCCTTCCAGCTCTTAATTTCTACGATCTATGTACTAGGGCACATCAGAATTTAAACCCCATCTCACCCTTATGACCCTACCCCACTGCACCACAAAGACACCTGCTGACAGCAAAGGCTGCAGCCAAAGCCACTCGCTGGGCTTACCCACAAGAGGCTTGCACTGAAACAACAGCCATATATTTCAGGCAATTTTCTCTTCAACGCCAAACTTACACTAACAAACAGCCACAATTTATGATGCCACAAATCCCAGTGGAGGACGACAACTGGGTTGGGAAGGCGTATTTACTGTTACGAGCTCCCCTGCACATCAATAATAACGCTGGAGCTTTAAGCATGTTTTACATGCGGCCCCTGGAGCCCTGCAAGGACATGGGGGATGCTTTAAATCTACATTGTGACCAGCTTAGCTAGATTGCTCCTTCAGACCACGGCAGATCTCCGCTTCCTGCCTGGGAGCCTGGATGGTCCAAGCCATTCAGTAGTCTGGTGGAGCTTCAGAAAACCCAGAATGGGCTGAAAGCAAAGATGTGCTTTTTTCCCCCCAAAAGATACTGTCAGCTTTGAAGGCATTTCAAGTACTATGCCCACCCCCTACCCAGCACCAGTGGTGGTACAAACACACTACATCTTCCTATTAAGACATTTCCCTCCTCTGACTACGCCAAGATGCACAACACTCACAGCACTGGACACATGTAAGACAAGGAGAAATGTAAATTTTCTCCAATTACAATAGTCTTACAGCTACAGGTGGCACTCAAGGCAGCAAATTCAGGCAAAGTACAATCGAGTTAGCAGTTAAAAAATCCAAACCCTGCCTGCAATATTTAAAGCTTTGATGGAAGGTAAAGCCACATTTGTGAATTACTTTTATGCTTCGCTATCTGCCTAACCCCAAACCAGAAAGCAGCAGCAATCACACCACACTGTTGGCATTGATTCCTGCAAGTGAACAACATGATAAAAGCAACTCTGCTTTTACGAGCGCACATCCTAAAGGCTACACGTGTCTTCGGCAAAGAGCTCGCAGCCCTCCGGCTCTCCTTCAAACAAGCATTTGGGTTAGCCTGGAGGGCCGTATCCGAGCCAGACCACTGCAAGCGGCGGGCTCGACTCGCACTCTCAGCTTGCTGACAAGGCCGAGCAGTCGAGCTTACAACTGACCTGCTATGAAATCACTATGTGGAGCATACGGGAGCAGCATCTCTTCGCTATATGTGCTATCGCCCCACACACAAATCCAGAGGGGCACATGCCCACCATGCCTCACCTGGGGGGGTGTGCATCAGCAAGGAGTTGGCCCCCTGCTCCCTACCCTCCTGCACCCCCTGGACCAGCTGTTCACTGCTCTGTCCTGTTCTGTGCCCCGGGGTCCCATTCACTGCCCTGGCTGGGCAGCCCCTGCCCCACTCCTTC